GTGTGCTACACAATAGCACATATGATGAATAACCTCATTTTACTCTACAAGCAGCAATATTAGCGCTTTACTCTATTAGTGCTCTCTAACCAGGTTTTACTGTCATGGCTGAGCTTTAGCATGAGGAAAGTGTAATATGCAATTTGCTTTTGTTTTGTATTAACACCACACGCCGAGTGATAACTTCATTGAACTGCATAGATAAGCGGTGTATTGCACTGGGTATAGAGATCTACCTTCTCACTGTAATTGGACTTGATGATGAATGGCATTGTGGGTCCTAATGTGGCAGTATGGTTTCATCTTGGGCCTCTGGCTCTCACTGGCTATTATCTCCATCCCGTGAGGATACATTGTGTCTGAGCCTTTGTTGGCTCTGCGCGGTGGAGTGGAGGACCTAATCTATTTATCACAGGGTCTGCGTGACCACCCAGCCAGGCTGCTATATCGGATCATACCAGGCTCCCTTGTGCTCTTCCTCAAGGGAAGGAGGAAGCGCCGATGTAACATGCGGCTTCACACCTGTCAAACAGTGCTGAGGTTGGTCATCCCTGAGGAATGGAGCACAGAAGGCAACGCATTTAAATGTATTTTGTGTCATGGCCAAAAAAACTGTGATTTTGTCTTTTGCCATAAAAGATGTAATCCTCAGCATGTAAGGTTTGAACATTCAGGGGATGAATCGATGAAAGAGGAGGTATTATTAGGAATAAGAATTGTCAGTGTTTGGATGGATTTTTGTAGTTTGAAATGTTATTGAAGTGTTGTTGAAGCGTGAATCGGGGACTCACTGCTTCACCAACTTTTTGACATGATGAAATTGCATCATTCAAGCAAAAAATGTTGAACTGCCCCTTAGTGTGGTGTCGCAACTAAAACAAAACAAAAAAAGACATTCAGTGTCTAACTTTTCTAATTTAGGGTCTGAATTAGGTTTGTAAACTGCTACTATATAGAAAGAGAGCTGAAGGGAAATCAAAATTCCCAGTTGTATTCCAGAAGTAAGAAACCCCCATTCAATTTCATATTTACATTTTAATTATGCAAATTACAATACAGTATAACTTTGCTTAACAGCATGTTGTGCAGTTCATTCCAGATGTCTGGACAGGAATAGTAAATGTTATGCTACGTAATATTTTATGTTAGTTATTAGTTATTATGTCATGCACATGCATGTGCCCACCCTACATGAACCTCTAACACAGCAATGCCCTTGCAGTGGTGAAACATTTGTTAGACAAGAACTTCTTAAATAACATTTTACATAAACACAGTGCACAATGACTTAGGCTCTCTAGGGTATGTAAGAAAGGGGGCAAAGGCTGCTGTACTGCCAGCCAATGAATGTGGTGCATCATCAATAGCTGTAGTTATATGTTAATAAAGCCCAAACAGTCGGTTTCATTCAAATGGTATTTCTAGGGCTGTCCCTGACTAAGGATTGACATAGCCGAATCAGACTGATTGTCGAATCATGGGGGGGGGTTTACACATGGTAGCTCCGCTTTAATCTTGAGAAGTCTCCATTCATTCAACTTAAGCCTTGATTATACTTTCCGCGTCCACGAGGGTCCATGTGACGAAAAATCATCATCAGAGGGGGTACCATAGGGGGGTACGTATACAGTCTAAGGTACGTCCACGTACCTCATTTTTTGTGACCGCGTCCGCGCGGCGACTAGCAGGGCAACAACCGATCTACTGTGTGGAACGTGTCCGCCAAGCTGACTGCTGAAGGTAGTACAGAAGTCGTCCACGTTCGGGAGGTTCGCAGCTGTCCGCGTCTGCTCCCGAGTATAATCAAGGCCTTACAGAAATTTCTCTCACTCACTCACTCACTCACTCACTCACTCACTCACTCACTCACTCACTCACTCACTCACTCACACACACACACACACACACACACACACACACACACACACACACACACACACACACACACACACACACACACACACACACTCATTTTTATGGTCATTCACTGGTCTTGTGCAGAGTTTGGCCTGCATTCCGTGCTGCCGACAACTGCATGCATGTCGCGATTCCTCGCGGGTCTATTTCAAGTAGCCAGCTATTTAAAAACAATTAAATATTCTGTGTGTGGTTCATCAACGGTGATAAATTATCAGAAAGTCCCGCGAGGTACGGACTAGGCACAACACCACTGAAGCTGGGGCTCATTCTCGTCAGCAAGTGTTCCTCTGCCACTACATACATGCTACCCTACACATGCGCACTGATGACCCAGGGTTACGGTTAAAAATTTGGATTTATTCTTTAAAAACATTTATTGAAAGTTTTATTCTTTTTACATGTTTATTTACAGCATTAAATGTTGAAATTTATATTTTAATAGGCTGTACATTAACTGGTAGTTCTATGTAAAATCAGAGGTTGGCCACCCCCATATTGCGAAAATGGAAAGATCCTTGTTTTCGCTGCGAAGCTTCGACTGTGGCCCTGTCCCAATGTCCACACTACGCCCTAAGGTCTTCCTCAAAGTGGACACTTGTTCAAAGTGCACTTAGCGGAGTAAGTGCGCAAATGCCCAAAGCTGTGAAGAGCAGAATTGGGACAGTTTTGCACATGTCACTATCTATGTCACTTCTGTTGTGATCAGGAGAGCAAACATGGCGCTGGCAACTTCCATTTAAATTTGTGTGAAAGAAATGCATTACAAAATTGCGCCTAACATATACCCTACTAACCAAATATTGTAAAAATTTATAGATATTGATCAAAAATGTGAATTCTGCAAAGATGAAGATGAAACAATTCTGCACTTATTTTTTTGTGTCAATACCGATACACATTGGGATTATGGGAAAAAAAAATTTGATTACTTTGTAACTCAAACTGATCATTTAATGAAACTAGAAGTCAAGGATGTAATACTACACTATGAAAACAAAAATTAAAAAATCTGTAAAATGGTTAACTTATCTTATTAGGAAAATACCACATCCATAAGATCAAGTTCTCAAGATCCTGACCATCATTCGAATTATTTAGAAAAGAAATCAGAATGTATTGTGAGTCAATCCAATTTATAAATGACAATAAATGTGCCTATACAATTACTTTGTTACAGGAACTATCTATAGAAATGTAATGTTTATACTGCCTTTAGTAATATTCCAATATTTTCTTTTTGCCCCTTATTTTTCTCTACATTTATATTTTCATTTGTTATTCCTATAGTTTATATATTTTACTTAAATTATTTACCAGAATGTTTAGGATGTTATTTTTACTTGAATGTAATACCTCATATAGTGGTGGTGGTTTTGTATGTTCAATGATGGAAGATACTCACACATAGGCCTACCTGTTGTGATGCCTAACCTTGTTAACTTGTTGTGAACCAAAAAAATAATAATAATATAAACATGGCGCTGGCCGCAGGTGCGGTATTCACAGTACTCCTGCTAAAATTGATCACAACTCACCAGCAGTTTCTTACCAGAAGAATTAAAACACTTAAAAATAAATTTCTTCTTCATTTGTTTACGCTCTTGCCGGCTTCCTTCTTCTTCTGAGTTTTCCCGGTGACCAGCACCATAGCAACCGTTTTGCTCTCCCATTGGTTAGCTGTTCGAAATGTCATGACACTACAAGAATTCTGGATAATAGCAAAGTGAGGTCTGATGCACACTTGCGAAAGGGGTGCATTAAGTGTGCTGATGATCACCCCTGGAGAACAACATTAGAGGATCGGGACACCCTATGGTCTTGCACCCCCTATTGAGAACGCGCATTGAGGGGCACAAGGGCGGAAGTGCAGATAATGGGACAGGGCCTGTGAGATTGACAGTCGAATCAGGCTCCGCCCATCGAAGCATCGAATCTTCCACTATTTGGGGTCAGCCATATTTCATGAAACTTTTGTTAAAAAAAACAAACTCATTGATGTTAACATAGATACCAATTTGTCACAAAAATAGAAGATATATTAGCTTCAGAGGTATGGTTATATACAGATACACCAGACACACATCATTGCAACCATTGTCGGAGCTGGAGAATGTACAGAAGAAATTCAGCCTATGCAGAGGCAGCAGTTCACATTTAATCCGTGTCATTTGCCTTACATCCTCTGCGCTTTGCTGCTGAGCATGGCATCCATGTGTACAATGTTCGGTTTGGTGCTCATTACGCACACCGCAGAGAGACAACCAAATCTTGAGTTTTAACTGACGTTTCCATGGCAACATACCACTGAATGAGAAGAGGTGAGGTGCATAGTGTACTTTGCCTTGAGTGGCTCTTCAGATCGAGATGACTCTCCCATTGCTCAGTCAGGAACGGGGACTGGAGCCATTTATGGAATCCACCTCCTCCCGCCTCCACCAACACAATCCAGCCAACAGGCACAGAGAGCATTTGCATGCTTTGAAGTATACCATGGGCAACAAAACTCAGCCACAAGTTCCGCTTTCATATTCAGATAGTTTGTTGGTTTTACTCATTTTCTTCTAGAGTATTTGGCCTCTTGCTTGTATGAGAGAGGAACTCGTTATATGTTGAAGATGGAAGCCAAAGCGAGTAGAAGTGTATGATTTATCTTATCCTGAGTAGAGGACGCATGGTGTTTGTTTACCCAAGTGTAGCATGAAATCCTATCAGTTCAAATACACAGGGATGGGCCTGGCTACACTAAATGCTTGCCCAGTGGTCGTGCAAGTGGTCTGATGGGAATTGGTATGCTGTGTACTGTAAGCCACTGATTTCTCACCCTGACAACTGGATACGTGAAAGATGGCATCCCCTCTATGGCGTAGTTAATGAAAGCGCCATCTCCTGTCACTGACGCTCCATCTCCAACATAATGGAGCTTTGGTTATCAATATGTGAATGTCCTGTAGCAGTGAAAATTAATCTCTGGTGCCTAAAGTGCATGATGAGATGTGTGAATAATTCACAGCTTCTTGTTTATCTGACCTTGAGTGTGTGTGTGTGTGTGTGATTGTGTGCCTCATTGTGTGTTTTACTAGCTGGGAAGTGCTGCGGTTCCTACTGTCAAACCTGCGCTGGTGGATGGAGGAGTACTGCTTTGACGGCTTCCGATTTGATGGTGTTACTTCTATGCTGTACCATCACCATGGCATCGGTAAGGCTGGTTTGTGTGCTGTGTGTATAAAGCATGTCATCCTCTCCTTTGAAACCCACAGTGCAGTGTGCACCACAGACTCCAGAAGCTTAAAGAATAAGGCCAATAGGAGTTTTGTTGAGAGGTCTGACTGATCCCAGCCATCATGTGGTGAAAATACTTATTAAAAGCATGTTTCAATTAATAAAACATAAGGCCACAATAGTGTAGGCCTTACTGTTGCCTAATTAATTAATGTGTCTAAACATGGAAATGTTCATTAAGCTCACAGGCAGAACCGTCACTATACTTGAGCCTGATTGGTTGGCAAAATCTGTTCCTCTACAGTATTTCAAATGAGGTTATAGGAAGTGTGTAATAATACATGCTACAAAGTTTAAATTTAATTTGAGCAAATATTCAGTGAGGAGAGCAATAAAATCAAGTAATACCTAAAGTGTGGGGCTTTTACATATAACGTTTGTCATTTTCAAGCTCTGACAAAACAAACAAACAAAAAAAGACCCCCACCAACTTAAAATCTAATAACTCAAACCATCTAATACAATTTCAAAACGCTCTATATCACAGATGGAAATCACAAATGTATATGTAAAAGAAAAAACTGAGTACTAAGTAAAAGATATACATTAAAACAAAAACAGTCGAACCTTATACAGAGGAAAGAATCTATAGTCATTTGCAGTAGCTGTCACATTATTATTGTTATTGTTATTATTATGAAGTTCTTTGAATATCCTAAGTACCAGAAGGTTCTACTGTATAATTTCTAAAGTGGCATTTTACTGTGTAGCCGGTGTACAGATGTCTCTGTACTAGTTTCTAACCTGAATGAGCCTGAAAATGAGACATAAAAATTTACATTTATGTTGCAATATTAAGGACAGTTTAGAAATATGTCAGATAATAAATGAAGTAAAACTGTAGCAGCACGAGGGAATGAAAAATTTTAGACATTTGAGTGGTAGACATGATGAGTGTTGACTGTGTGGGTGTTTACTCCTCAGGCGCAGGCTTCTCAGGGGACTATAGTGAGTACTTTGGCCTACAGGTGGACGAAGACTCTTTGGTTTACCTGATGCTTGCCAATCACATTGTTCATACCCTCTATCCTGACTGCATCACTGTTGCAGAGGTAAAAACACACTCTACCACACACACCTTCAGCATCAACTTACTATTCAATGATACTGCCCACAGCTATTATTAATTAGAAACACTTATTAGTTAGGCATAGCTTACTTACGTATTCATTGGTGTAATTAAGAAGTAATGCAAAAGGAAATTGGATGCCACTCTTTTTTGGCCTGTGGTATAGGATTTTCTTACCTTAATATGTGAGTTGTGGAGTGGTATTGATGTGATCTTGGCTGACTACTGGGAAAGAAACCGGTGCACACAAAGAAAATGTGATATGAAATAGTGTGACTTCTCTGCAGGATGTGTCAGGGATGCCTGCTCTCTGCAGAGGAGTGGAGGAGGGAGGACTTGGTTTTGATTACCGACTGGCTATGGCCATTCCTGACAAGTGGATTCAGGTAAGATGATTTACTTCTTTTTAATCTACCTCTTTTTTGCGCCCATTTTTCTCCCCACCGACCTTTACAGCCACTGTAGGCCTATGCTCACACAGAAACTCCTGTATGAGCCACAGAGAGAAAACTGTAAACGTTCAAAACAGGGATGAAAGACAAAGGGAGTGACAGGGCATGTTTGGATGCATTAAAAACTCTTGTGCTATATTACAGCTGAGCCTGTTGCCAAGCTATTACGTTTACTCATTTTATCCAAAGCGACTTACATTTGAGAAACAACATACAAGCATCAAGAAAGCATCAAATACAGCACGAGATCTACAACTGACAATACATACTAGTAAGAGCAATAAATACTAGTAAGAGCTGATGGCACATATCCGATCAATGTGCTGAATACTTAGGGAAAGAAATAAGAGTTAACAAAAAAGTGCAATCAATACAGCTTTTAAACCTTTTAGGAAGCTTTCAAGTGTAAAACTGTTGTAGCAATACAGTGACATAAAGATCTTGCCCTGTATTTTCCTAGAGAAACCTTCCCATGTTTGGACAAGGAAGCTTGATACAACTGGAAACTTGATGGAACATGCATCAACTGACTTCTGAAATTTAGAAGTACACTAAAAACGCTTATATCCTTCGAAACGTTCTTGTTTCTACTTATATAATACAAGTGTGTGACTAGAAAAACTACAGTGGCCTGCACAATAAACGTATTAAGAGTTGTTTGTACTGCATTATAGACTTTTATGGTCACTTAGTGTATTGGCAACAAACTGAACCAAGCCGTGAATGAATTTACACATAGTATTCCGTACTGATTGCTTGTAATCAAATTTGTGTTGTTTTTTTTTGCCACGTTACTAAAGTAGATAACTTTATTGTTTCAGTAATACCAACTCTATACTATAAAAGTTTTTTTTTCACACAATGAAACCCCACTGTTCTATAATAGGATATTAATTTTATTGTACCTTTCATACTTTACATACTTTACAAAAAATTACATAAAAACAAACCATTTAAAATACATTAAAACAGAGTAGATTAACTTTTTATTAAGCAAGGCTACACATAGTTAAATACCAGACTGCTGACTATAGGGACAATGAAGGATTAAAGTGATAATAAAAAACGTTTTTTAAGCCAATAGTATTCTATTTCCATGAAACAGATAACTGAATATATTTCTACAATTGTACATCACATTCAGAATGAGACGCATTCAGAAATGCAAACAAGCCACATGAATTTCCTGGACTCCTTTTGCTGTAATGGTGAAAGCGGTCTAAAGTCTCTTACCGTGCGAAGAGACTCCACTCTCGGTTGTTTCTTTTACTCGGAGCTGTGAGTTTAAAAAAATAAAATAAAAATCAAACTGAGAAAGGTCTTTGTGCTTTTTCTAAAGCAGTGCTAATTTATTTTTCTTTTTTCCTCCTTAATCCTACCTGCTGTGCAAATGGGAAGGTCATTATTTATCCCTTCAAATACAGAGTTATGAATAAATGATGGCAGAGACATAATTGTTATTGGAAATAAAATGTAATGTTAATGCAATTTTAACATGAAGGTCATTTAGTCACTGATCCAAGCTGAAATTTCTTTTGTGATGTTTTTTTTTCTTAAGTGCAGTATTTGAATAGACTGGCAGTCACCTTTACATTTCACTTTGATTCATTATTCAGTCTAAATGTCTGTCCTTGGGGTAGCTTTATATGATGTCAAAGCAAAGGATATTTCTCAGTTTGAACTCAGTGCTCTGTTGATTCTTCCCAACCAGTCTGACAATCTGAATAGTTGAAGATCAGAAACACAATTTTTTCCAATATCCCATCCTTGTCACAGCAGGGTTATCACCCTCCACTCATCCTCAACTACACACAGGGTAATAAATTAAAGAAGAAAATGGTAGTTACGGTACGTGTGAAGAAATATAGAAAATGTTTGAAATGATGAATTTTCATGAATAACTTGAAATGGCAATAGAGCGTGACACTTTATAGTCCTAAAATCCTGACATTCATTGAGCGGCAAGTTCCCTCGCCAGATCTCTGATGCTTTTTCAAGCATCAGAATATATTAAAATGTCATGGAGTAATTTGTGTGTGAGGTTTAAGTATGGCAAAAATGTGTTAATTCGTGGAGATTATCTTGCTTAACAAATTGAAAAAGTTCTGTGTGTGAATGATCATCTTTGTTCAGTATTTTCTTCAATGCCAAGATTTCACTGAAAAACGTGAAAACTCTGGAGTGTTTTTTCATGTTGGTCTACAAAAAGACATAGTTCTACTTAAAGATGAAATTTGACTTTGAAAACCCTAAGTAGAAAAGGATAAGCTTATGAATAGATATAATATGAAAATGAATTTAAATTTCCTTGTCATTGTTTCTTTTATTTCAACACAAACTTTCAATTTTAGTTTCATTATTCCTACTGTAGCAAAATTGTTTTAACATGTACATTTTAGTTGTACTGTAATATAGCACTTTATCATAGATACTCAAAGTGCTTCACAGTGAAGTGGGGGGGACTCACCTTAACCGTCACCAATGTATAGCACCCATCTGGGTGCTGATGCACAGCAGCCATTTAGCGCCAGAACGCTCACCAAACATCATCTTGAGGCAGAGACGGAGGGAAACATTGAGCCAATTACTACAGGGGATGATTAGATGGCCAGAGGGTGAAAGCCAGGTTGGGTATTTTGCCATGGCACCCCCTACTGTTTGCGACAAGTGCCATGGGATCTTTAATGACCACAATGAGTTAGGACCTCTGTTGAATGTCTCATCCGAAGGACGGCCGATCCTACGGCGCAGTGTCCCCATCACTGCACTGGGGCATTGCCATCTTACTATTAGGATCACAGGGAACACTGCCCCCTACTGGCCCACCAACACCACTTCCAGCAGAAACTTAGTTTTCCCATGAAGTCTCCCATCCAGGTACTGGCCAAGCCCAAACCTGCTTTGCAATCAGCAGTGCCAGGGTTTACATTGATATGGCTGCTGGCACTGTACTGAAGAAGAGCTTGTTTGGAAGAGTAAAGCTGTGAGGACAAATTTAGTTTTGCCAGGTTTGCTGAAGGTTACAATTAGTCATGCCATACAGCATAAGGTTCAGCTATTTGTTCTGCTATCATAGACAAAATGTAGCTAATGTGTACGCACTCAAACATATAGAAAAAAAACACACCGAAGTAAAATACAGTAAACAGTCTCCGCAGGTGGCTTAACAAAAGGAATCGTTGTATGTTTGTTGGTGTTTAATGGTTACAGGACTTGTATACTTATATTTTTAATATGCTGATAATGTTAAGTCATGTAATGTCATGCAAAATGTTACTCATAAATATGCTATGCATGTCTTGAAGCGATGGTTATAGAAGAAGCTAGTTTTATTTACTCTTTACTCTTATTATATTATTATGTCAATCTCTTTAATAACATTTGCTCAAAATAACTGGTAGCAAGAAGAGGCTCATTGATAACCTTAAATGTAAATACTCAGAAATCATTTTAATTTGGCTTTAGTTAACGGCACACAAAACGTTTAGTAGAAAACCTTCTCACTTTTATTTCTATTTATATCATAAATATATCATCAATATCATGCATCACATATGCCAACATTTCATCTGGGCAAACATGGATTTGAAATGTCTTCATTGTGATTTACACTAATGGACATGGGTCATTTTCAACTTTGAATTTTAGTTCTATCCCTAGATTTAGAAATAAATTGTGAGAAAATTAACATATATATATATTTTTTTTTTACATAATTCAACCAGAAACGGTAACAAAAATGGTAACTTTTTAGGAGGGTAACTTTACAAAAACAACTTATATATCAATACTAAAATTGAAAGAACACTTTCTTTCACTAATCATTGCTGGCAAACATAATAACACCATCGAGTGATGTGTTGCCACCCAGCACTGCTTCAGACTGGATGGGAATTTCTGGGTGCCAAATATTCTCTGTCCTTCCACAACAACTGTTGAAGCACCCTTTAGCTCGGCACTTCAGCCCAAACTGCCACTGTGAAAGTACTTAATGGCCCACAATGGGAAAACATTGTTTATAACTGTGCAGCCATCAGGTATGAAAGTCCATAACAGTATGATGTTGATGCCGAGTAGCACAGGGAAAGTGCATGCATACCCAGCCATCCATCCAGAGATAAATAAAGGTTATCGTATTTCTTTATCAGAAAGTTTTTTTTTTCTTGCTGTCTGTTTTAACGGCAGCAATATTCTGCCGTATATGTGTAGAACGCTTTTTTCAACCTTGTTTTGGAGCAGTATTTGCCTCTTCTGGAAAATGTGGGCAGATTTACTGTACTTCAGTATATAATTCATAATAAATTTTCTTGGTCCCCTTAGTGTTTCCTCAAAGCTTCTATTAATAAAATTGCCACCCATTCATCGTCAGTGTGCGACTGTTTTATTATGAAATCAGCAAATATTATTTAAAAAAGTACATTTGTAGGAAGTCAGACAAGCATGTTACCTCTGGGGATGTGTCTGTGTGTTTGGGTTTGCTGTTGGATGAATGTGGATTGTTTCGTGTCATGTCTGTGTGTGTGTTTGTGTATGTTTAGAACAAGTAGAGGCTTTTTCTTGTTTGCTGTTTGAAGGGAAATGCTGTTTGCAGAATGCCTAAAGAGGTTATCTGTTGTAAGATTCATGAAAACGCTGTGCCTTTTTATCCGCTAGCCCACACTGAAAGTTATATTTACTCATATTTTGGGTGAAAAAGCAAAGCAGAGTGTGACCTCGGCGCCACATGCAGTCTCTTGCACTACAGTTTCTCGTGTTTCTCGTTGGGGGAAGCCTATGCATCGTTAATCAAGTCTGTCTCTCACAGCGGTGGGTTTTACTCAGTAGCGAGGATGGAGGGAGGAGAGGAGAGGGGCAGAGGAAGGGAGGGAGGGAGGGAGAAATAGTCCCAGACTTGACCTTCCTCTGTGATGCTTGCAATAGCTGTACGGCAGGCAGTGCTGTACCGCTGAGACGCAGGCTTCTCCACAGTAACCAGAGGTTTCATAGGATTATCCTCAGGATGCCTCCGAAGATGCTGTTGCTGCTTTTACTTTTCAAACAATATTGCTTGCAATGCAATATTTGTCTAGATACCTCTTCTGCTTGCATTTTTTCAATTAAATGTGTTGCTTCCTCGGGGAGACTTGACGCAACGTGAATCGTAAAGCTCGAGGAGAGCGAGAGAGCAGTGAAATTCATGTATTTCTGCGCAGGGAAGCATTCATATGAACATGCCTTGGTATAGTCAGTGAAGTGCACTCAGGGCTAGCCTTGCCTTTTCTCACAGAGTGTCAATTAGGGAGGGATTTGAATGGACTGAAGTGGAGCCTCCAGTGAGGTGTGTGTTGCAGAGAAGGAGACATGGAGTGGGGAGGGCAAGCATTCAGGAAGATAGACCTTCCTCAGACAGACAAACAGACAGGCAGGAAGAAACAGAAGGGAAGAGAGACAAAGAGAGAGCACTAGAGCTTATTTATAGATTCACATGTGTGCACGAATGAATCTCTCTCAGTTCCTCGAGCGAGGTCTCATGCTGTGTTTCGTCCCCAGCATGACTGATTGATATGACTCATTTACTGGCTGCAGAAGGCTGTTAGGACCAACAGGCTGTGAAAAATTAAGATATCCTAATGAGAGGACCAGATAAGGCGCACAGCACAAGTTTGGATGATTCGATCTTATTATGACCATAAAATGCTGTCACTCCTAATGGATAATGTTACAAAAGCCCTCTAATTTAACAAGCACCCTTCCCTCCAGCTACAATAGATTGAGATGTAATTGAAACAATTAGAGGCAGAGGAGGTAGAGGGCTTGCTGGTCGCAGCTAGGATAAGAGAAGGCGATGCAGAGAATTCTCCGCATCCCTCTGCTTCTCTCAACTCTTCAACTTGAATGACCTCTGAGTCAATTGTCCCGATTCTTGTTTCTGTTCCTCCATTTATTTTAATTGAATGAAAATATCAGTCTGCACAGCTCTCTCCTCATTAGTTTCAGGGGAAAATCCATTTCTGGTCCACATACTTTGCTCTGTCCATCATACTGGAAACACTTTCAATTAACATGACTTAATAAAATTCTGGCTGCCAACAAGCAATGATGGAGTCTTGTTTATGTGAACATGTCAGTGCTTAAAGGATGCCTACTCTCTTTGACCGTCTTTGCCGGTGTCTCCTTTAACTGCAGCATTTCAGCTTCATCCTGCTTTATTTTATGGGCTAAGTGCACTCTGTGGTGGGAGGCCCCTTGTATGGTGTTAAAAGTCCTGTATAGAATTTTGTTTCCCCTTCTGGCAGTGAGAGTAATTACACATCAATGTGTGCCAATGACGTATGCCGACAGGTGAGCTCACCCCAGGCTCATGTTCAGAAATAGTTACAGGAAAAACAGAGAGATTTCCACAGCTCTAAGACAATAGTCTATCATTTAGGAAGCGTAAATGTAATAGTGACGTAGCCCTCTGAAAATATTTTACAAATAGCAACCTGTCCAAAAGCAGTAACGCAGCATCCGTGTCTGCCCTCAGTCCCTTCTCTTCTCTCAGCACTGTCAATTGAGGAAAAGTTTCACCAATGATTATCTGTCCCGCCAGTTGCTTTCTTTTTTTGACTGTAATCATAGCTCCGAATGCTGATTTTCTTTTTTTATCTGTGGCATCAGAAACCTTTTTTTTATGTTTCATAAGTTTTTCCACCATATACTCCTAGTTGCTGTGGCCCTCCCACGCAAGAATGTTGCCACAGACACCAGATTTAAAAACCCTTGTGTACTGCGAATACAGAGAGATTTACCTGGTGGTGATGGGCTTGATCAGCATTATGTGAACTAGTTTGGCAAGGTTTGAACGTAATGGACGTTCATTATAGCCTGAAAATCCAGCACTCCAGCTTTAACTGGTTCTGGATTTAGATGGTTCGGGCTACTTCAGCAATGCTTTTTACGGGAAAACTGAGGTGAGCTAAGGAGTGCCTTTCAGTTGGGTGAAGCCTCTGGCAAAGACATTTGTGTGGGCAGGAAGTTCATTAATTTCCAAAACTGTGAAAATATAAAGATAGGGAGGCATAAACTTGATCCATGGGATTGAGTGTTACACACCTTCATTCTTTGCTCATCTCTGGGGGTGGCACTGTATGTGTGAAGAGAGGATGTCCCCATAGCAACGCAAACTCACAGTTCCAGTTGTGTCTGCAAAGACAGGAGAGGCAGGATGCTCGGTCAGCCACCAAATGTAAAACAAGAGCTTTACACTGAACACACCTCTGTCCCCGAGTCCTTCCCAGTGCCAAGCTATGGTAGAAGAGAGGCTTTTGAATCAGTCACAGCATGTCAGAGGCAGTGAAATGACCTCATCCTGCACTGCTAGATTTTAAAAAATTTTATTTCTGGCTCTGCCTAATTAATCTGGGCACTCTGGTTGGCTCCTGACAGCAGGCTTGTAAAGTAAGATTTGTGCACTGCTCATTATCATTGATGAAGTGGAGTGTCAGTGGTGCCAGGAAGCTCTGCTGGTCGGGGCTGATGTGGGTGAGCTGGTGGTAGGGAAGTCGTCAACCCAGTCACTCCTGTCTGCACTCCGACAGTCCCACTCCCAGATTAATTGCTCCCAGACCACTTTTGCGGTTGAATTGAATTGTAATGATTCATAAGGAAGTGTAAAGTGTATGATTGCACGTGGCTGTGGAGGCGGCCGGGATGATCTCTGGGGTATATCCTGCAGATTCAGTTGTTTAGCTTTTATATTGGAGCTAGGGGGGGGGGGGGGAAGCTAACATTTAGAGGTTTTATTTATTTTCATATGGTGTTGTACTCTAAGTTTTAGCTTCAGGAGTGAAATTAATTTGGAAGCTTTGTATTGCTGTTCCATTTATGAATATATGAACTACTGTATTGTAATATTGTCCAGGATGCTACTAAACCGTCCTACCTCAACAAGATACCTTTCATTTAGAGGAACATCTTGAGAATACTAACCTGAACCATCTGCCTAGATTATTAGTATATTTAATTTATTAACTATTCAAAGAGTTAATATTCTTTACACTGTTATATGAATGTTTTTGTATGTACCTGATGGTCTCCCTGATGTTGAATGTTTCCCTCCTTCCCTCATATTTCACTACCTCCTCAAAGAACTTTTATTGACCTTTCTTTTGTATTTCCCATTACAAATATACAGTACCATCAAATATAGAGCTTGAACTGTAAAGTCTTCAAGGTTTATTTTTAAAGTAAAATCTCATGCCAAATGACATGCTCAATTGTTTACCTTTTATTTAAATGTTTATTCCTTTTTCTGATTGTCTCTACCTTTTGATACATTGAGGAGGACTTTGTATAGACACCCTTTTGCTCCCCTCTTTAACCGTAATGCCTTTAAATATAGTATTCGTCTAAATACGGTAAGTGACAATCAAAAATTAAAAATTTAACACATTTTCTTTCAAAGCAATCTTACATGGTAATTACAAAAAAATAATTATTTTAATACTGTTCTGTGCTGTAAAAATCCATTTTCATGGAACAGAAACAGATGGACATTAGATTAAACCTGGCAGCTGGGATGGGTAAAAGCAATTGATCTCAAAGCCCGTCTGTTAACTTGTGATTAAAAATGTGATTTAAGAAATAAAACTAATGTTTGTTCCTCTGCATATTGGGCTTGATCAGTTTTGATGTTTGCTAAAACCAAAGAATAGCCAGCGTGGCTCAGCTTGAGGATCTGAGGTAGCGAACTGAGCTCACAGGGAGTTAAAAGGTCTGAGAATTTGTATTACATGTAGATGTTAAGTCCCTGGCTGAGTTTTTCTGGTGGCATTGGCAATGACTAATATGGCCACACAAAGCTAAGGTGAAGAGTGAATGTGAACAGATAGTGATATATAGAGGAGGGTAGCCTCTATTTAGGTGGACCAGCCAGTTCATCTCAGACATATTGATCACCACAATTTACTCTCTTTACTCAGAGGATTATGGCTCTGTAGAGTAATATAAAGGTTTCCTGGCATGTCAGTCAGCTGTCACAGCCAATTCCACCGAGCAGACTTCAGCCTGTCACTGAGATGGGCTATCTAACTCCCCCACCATTCAGACAGGCTGCATGTCCATCACCATGGGTTCTTGGAGGGTGTAAACTCTATTTTTTTCCCCCTTTAGGATTGACATTGATACTGTGGCTTTCTAGCATCTCTCTGTGCCCAAGACAGTCTATGTGTCTTTACTGTGCCCTGTGCTCTTGTTTGCTTGTGTAACTTGTGAGTGATTAGGAGCAGCTTTGGTAACTGTATAGCAGCACTGTGTGGGCAGATGTGTTCGAGATGCATGTTTTGGTGGCCCCTTGTTTCCTTCTGACCTCTGAAAACGACTCCTTTGGCAGGAAGTGTGCATGTAGGCAGGCCAGTGGCAGGGCATTGATTCCATGGTTGGATTTATTGTTGAATCCCTCCGTGTGGATGAGAGGCTCTGACCTTGGCCATCTCAGGTGGGGAGAGCTGATGCCTTACTACCCATGGGCTGTGGTGAAGTTATTAAAAACTCCATTACCGCCATTCAAAGGTAGACATAACTCACAGTGCAGATATAGAGATGTCAAAACAGAGATTGATCTGAGAAGGAAGTGTAACCCAGAGAAAACTTAAGAAAAGTATGAAGACTGCCAGAGTTGAAGTACTGAGCTTCAGACATCAGTCAGAGCCCGAATGGATCTCTGAGCTACACATCTATCATACCCTTTTTCAATAACCCCTCTCTGTCACTGTGTAGATCCTGAAGGAGTTAAAGGATGAAGACTGGAACATGGGCAATATTGTCTACACATTAACCAACAGGCGCTATGGAGAGAAATGCATAGCCTATGCAGAAAGTCATGATCAGGTAGGCTATTTTCTACAAGATTCTACTTCATAGTGTCAATAAAGTCTGTATTATCTCACTGTTGGTAATAAAACCTAACCCACCTTTCCAGGCTCTTGTTGGGGATAAGACTCTGGCGTTCTGGTTGATGGACAAGGAGATGTACACCAACATGAGCTCCATAATTCCCATGACACCCGTCATCGACCGTGGCATGCAGCTGCATAAGATGATCCGCCTCCTCACTCATGGCCTAGGTGGAGAAGGCTACCTCAACTTCATGGGTGAGTCATCATGGTAACACACAGAGATTCTAACCCTACAGTTACCTAGATATTATACTGTATTGTTGTTGTTATTATTGTAGACTAAATAATATTAAGCATTCATTAAGAAATATAGTACAACCCTTGTTATCTGTTTAATAAGAGTTTAATAAGATCCTGTTCTTGTGTTTGATGGGGTCCTATGATATATTTTAGTGGTGAAACAAATAATCCATTGACAGGAAATTAATTTACAACAATTAGGATAATCCATTCCTAATTTAAATCATCATGCAAGCAAACATGGCAATGAATATTTCTTCTGACAATTTAAATTGTAAACAATTAATTTATTCATCGAGAAGAATAATTGACGTATTAATCTGTAATAAAAATAATTGTGCATTGCAGCCTTAAAGAGGTGGTATTATGCTCATTTTCAGGTTCAAAATGTTATTTAGGGGTTGTACCAGAACAGGTGTACATGGTTTAATTTTCAAAAAACATCATATTTTTCTCATACTGCACATTGCTGCAGCTCCTCTTTTCACCCTGTGTGTTGTACGCTCTGCTGTTGAGCTACAGAGTGACGCATCTTACTTGTACAAAATCTTTGTTGGGAGTTGCACATGCGCAGTTCCCAGGTAAGGACTACTAGCCAATCAGAAGCAGAGAAGGGCGGGTCGTAAGAAACGAGGTAGTGTGATCCAAATCAAAGCCGCTTCAGACTGCGACTGTAACCTAGAAGATGGGATAAGTTACTCACAAGTCCACAACCACACAACATCATTGTTCCACATCTTACCATAAACCCCTACAAAAATCACCATAATTCAACTCAATTTTACATAAAAATTGGCCAAACAATTTGAACGTTAACTCACTTATTTTAAATATAATTCACAACCAATAATTGTGATTGTGTTTGTGAATTTCCAGGCCCAAACAGAGTCAGAGTTGCATCGTCTTTTAGGACTAAACGTTGAACTGTTGCCGGTGTTCTGACGATCTATGCTGCCTTGCCGAAAAATGCTACCATAGCGCAAATCGATAGACTCGACTCTACACGGCCCTGCTCCGTTTTCCATTGCAGATAGTACCCAGAGATGGTTAAATAGCTTGTCGTCACACAACTGCCGCGACGTAATGATCAATGCGACACACACACTAGCGATCCACACAGCTTTCTCTTTTTTAAGTTAAAACGTTTCAACATTATTCAGAATGTAAAGACAGATAAGCGGTATGAAAACCTTCCAGCTGTGTTTCCCTCTGCCGTTGTTGCTGCAGCGGTCTGTGTGAATAATATATAATATTCATAATATTCAACAAATATTCAAGCACGTTTTTGTTCTGCCATCACTTCTCATAAAACTGTCAATATTCAAAATCTACACAGCTGATTTCTCACCTCAAAACTTCTCAGAAGTGGATTTAGTGATGAAATTCCATATGAAAACTGTAAAATGTAAAACTTTCTGTTGCTGGCCTCTGTCTGGCGCAGCAATGATGATGCAGTGAATAGTGACAATTCACTCTGACCAATCAGCAGTCTGTTGTGTTTTCACGTTACATTTTAGTATCCCTCAGCTTGCTTGGAACCTCGATGGAGGTGAGGTGATACGAAAAAAAGTACCTGGAAGCAGGTACAGGTACAACATTTCTACAATGGAAACCCAAACAAAGGCGAGTCGAGCCAAAGGGCCTCCGCTCAGACTAGCTTGGTTTGAGGGCCTGCCTGACCCGCTAGCCGCTTGGCAAGCTTTATGACGTGTTTTCATTGTGACGTCACAAGTAAAGGAAGCGAAGGGCTGGACTACAAACGAGCTGTTTTCAAGCGGTTCAGAGCAGAGTTTTCTGTGGGAGATGGGAACTCCCTTTGTGCTGGACTTTGGGCTTTTTCACTTTGCAAACCTGTTACATGCACAAAAAAGATATATATAGAGATATAGAGATAGAGAGATATAGAGATATAGAGAGATAGATATATAATATATATAGAGAGAGAGAATATATATATATAGAGAGAGAGAGAGAGAGAGAGAGAGAGAGAGAGAGAGATATATGAGAGAGAGAGAGATATATATATATATATATATATATAGAGAGAGAGAGAGAGA